GACGTGAAATTCTTAGAGGATCTTTTCACCAGGGACATCCGAAGTTTAGGGAAGAAAGTCGTGGAAAACAATGTACAGCCGCAGCAGCTGTATCGATAGCCACCAGCAAAATAATAGATATAACTTTGTGGGATACTGGTATCGTTGATACTATTTTGATTGTGGCCGATAATCTGTACACCGAAAGTATTAGCACTCGTAATGTTCCTAATATTATAGAGAATGAATATCTCAGACCACATGAACTGAAAACACAATTCGAAATATTTTCACACAATTGTAACATAAGTATTGAAATAGAAGAAGATACTATAAGTGGACATCTTTTTATTGATAATACTGGTGACGGATTTCCAAACCTACAAAATGGAATAAGTCAATTCTTTAACAAGTTTGATTCTGGAATTTTAACAGCCAACGAAATCTCAATTGCAGTTTTTAAAAGAGGCAATTCATTTTTTGTTTTTGATTCACATAGCCGAGGTCCAAAAGGCAGAATTGCACAAAATGGTACTAGTTGTGCTATTAAATTTCCTTGCGAAGGCACTTTGTACGCTTTGGTCAAAAGCGTTATACCTAAATCAAATGATGTTCTTGGAAACCAGTACACATTGACAGGAATAACGGTCAATTTGCAAGACCTGACACTGCAGCAAACTCCACCAGATGGTGTTAACCTTGCTCATTCTCGTAGCAGTTGTAGAACAAATCCATGTGAAAACAGTGACAGATCACAGCCATGTGGAGAAAATGATATAATTGTATCAACGTCAATTTTGCGCACTGTTGACGAATGTATTCCTGAAGTCGAAACAGTTATAGAAAGCGATTTAAACAATATACCACTGCACAATTTAAGACGAAAGACTGCCCCGCCATTACAAATGAGTAATGAAAAAAGAGCCGAAGAATTAAGTTGGTTTTACTTATTCCCAAAAGGGCGGAATGGGCTCCATGAAACTAGAACTCATCCTATTACTCCATTGGATTATTGTCAAGCCAGAATAATGGGTGAAGATACAAGATTCCAACGTAATGATTATCTTTTTTTTGCCCTTTCTGTGATGGAATTTTTCAGAGCACGGCAAAACGTTGGGGTTGTATTGAGAATGCGACAAGGAAACAACAGACCTGAAGGTTTAGTTGACAACCTACATTTGAATATGCGCAGTTTAAGAGGTTCTAATGCCTATTGGCAACGAGCTTGTAGCGATCTTCTTGCGATGGTTAGAAATCTTGGGCCTCCAACATGGTTTATAACTTTCAGTTGTAACGATCTTAACTGGACAGATATTCTTAAAGCGCTTTTGATTGCAGCTGGAAGAAGAGATGTAAATCCAGAAAATCTATCATTCCAGGATAAGAAGCGCCTTGTAGAAGAACACCCTGTGACGTTATCCCGGCAGTTCATGTTGCGTGTAAACGCATTAATAAGATACATGAAATCTGATGATGAGATTTTGGGTGGGAAGTTAGAAGACTACTGGTACCGAATCGAATTTCAAAATCGAGGTAGTCCTCATTTGCATATGCTTGGATGGATTCAGAATGCCCCTTCATTTAATACAGCAGAAGGTCTAGACTTAATAGAAAAAGTCGTATCATGCTCGTTAGATACGGGTAATGCGGAACTAGATGACTTAGTAAAGCGAGTTCAAATTCACCATCATTCTGAGACTTGTTACAAGAACCGTCAAGACCGAAGATGTCGTTTTGGTTTTCCACGGAATGCCAGTGAACAAACTGAAGTCCTCGGTCCTGATGAGTGTATCAACAACAACGGGCGTTTTTGCATTTTAAAACGACGTTTGAGTGAAATTAATGTAAATAATTATAATTCTCAACTATTGACGCTATGGACAGGAAATATGGACATTCAACCCTGCGGCAACGTAACATCTGTTGCATACTACATTGCAAAATACGCTGCAAAGCATGAAACCCAAGATGTTGGTCAAGCAGTGCGGGACGCTGTAAATCGAGTCCAGCAACATCACGGAGACATTGGGCGTCAACTTTTTGCAGTATCAATGGCCATACTGAATCACAGGCGTGTCTCTGCGTGTGAAGCTGCATATAGACTTTGTCATTTGAAATTCCGAGACAGCACAAGAAAAGTAGTGTTTCTTAATACGTGTCCAAAAGAAGAACGCTATCGTATGCTTCGTTTGGATAGGAACGAAGTCCATACAAACATATTTGATCGTTACGAACAGAGACCAAGACATCTAGAGCATTTGAGTTTGGCTGAGTTTGCTATACAATATGATAACATATCAAATCAACAGCGAACCGAAGAGGATGAAGGCGACGAAGACGCGTACGATGACAATGAAGCACATCCACAAGAAGGAAGAATCCGACTTTTGAACGGCACATACATGAAGCGGCGTCACAGAAACGCGATATTGAGGACGAAATATTATGCTCAAACTGCTGATAGAGAAGGCTACTTTTACAGCTATCTTGTAGCGCACGTTCCTTTTAGGAACGAGGAGTCGTTACTAGATGGTTACGAAAGTGCTGAAGATGCCTTTATGGCCAAAAGAGACTTGTTACGACCTCTTCAACCGGGTGAAGATGTTGAACGTTTTCAAAACGTACAGACTGAACTTCAACAAGTTATTGCTCAAGTTTTAGCTTTGGAAAACCCGAATGAAAACACTACTAATGTAGATACTCGAGAAAATAATGATCAAATAGGTGCTATTGTTGAAGGATTTGATGTTCACATGGCCGAAGTAGAAATTCAAGATGATGATTTAGGCGACATTGACAATCGTGTGATATCAGACTCAGAATTTTCAACTATGATATCAAGTATGAATGTGGATCAGAAGAAATTGATTAATACTATTACAGCAAAGATCAATGCGGAAATAAGACACCAAACAGAGCCACCTCATGACACTATGAAATTGTTTGTAACAGGAGGTGCAGGATCTGGTAAAACTTACACCCTGAAAGCAATTGTTGAATTGATAAAGAGATGTTACAAACCGACTGTCAATTCTTTACTTCAGCCGTGTTTTGTTGAAGTTACTGCACCTACTGGAGTTGCAGCTCGCCTGGTGAATGGCCGCACGATTCACAGTGCATTGTCACTAGGCGTTGAAAAAGGCTCGGCTATTACTCATCGACAATTAACTGGTCAGAGATTAGAAGATCTAAGACGTAGATGGAGGACAGTCCGCTGGTTAATTGTCGATGAGATTTCTATGGTCTCTTATGAGATGTTACGGTGCATCCATTTAAGGCTCCAAGAGCTGAAAAATAATGACTCCCTTTTTGGCGGTATAAATGTCCTAGCTTTCGGTGATTTAATGCAATTACCACCTGTAAAAGGAAGTTGTTGTTTTAAGTTGCCAGCCTATTTCGAAGGAGAGCCTCACTTGTGGAGGTACTTTGGGTTATGTGAACTGACACGCAATATGCGTCAACAAAACGATACTGACTTCATAGATTTGCTCAACAATTTGCGAGTGGGTCAGCTGACTATGGAGCAATATCACCTACTTTTGGAGAGAACTCGAGTCCCATTAGAAGGTAGCTTTGCTGACGGTGAAGCAGTTCGTATATACCCCACCCTACAACTCGTAAATGAGTACAATCAGGCAATGTTGGCTAAGTTAACAACGAAATTATACACAATCAACGCACGAGATGAGTCTAGGGAACCCAATAACTACGGTCAAAACCTCCACCTGCTTCAGTTCCAGTGGACCCAAATAATACAGGAGGTCTAGTGTCACACTTAAAACTGGGTATAGGTACACGAGTGATGCTAAGAATGAATATTAAGGTTAGTGAAGGCTTAGTCAATGGCAGCATGGGAGTGGTTCGGGGATTTGAGTGGGAAGGTTTAAGAAGAGACCAGTTGGAAGATGGAGAGCTGCCCAAGAAAGTCCTGATTCAGTTTGATGACAATTTTATTGGCAGAAGTCGACAGAATGAGAATGGTTGGGTAGAAATTACGCCAGCGACCGTATCTTTCCAAGGGAATAAAGGTTTTGGGAAAATAGAACGAGTCATGATTCCACTCATACTGTCTTGGGCAGTTACTGTCCATAAATTACAGGGCACGACAGTTGATAAAGCCGTGATATATCTTGGCCCAAAACATTTGCCAAAGGGCAAGCATATGTCGCGCTTAGTAGGTACGCTCTTTAAATGGTATTGTAATAACTCATCTTGATCAAAGAAAACTTTTCAACAACCCACATAATAGCGTAGCATTATCGGAATTAGAGCGGTTGAGAAGCACTTTGCGGCAGTTGCAAACCGAAGAAACAGAACACCCATAACACGAAAAAGAAATGGAGTGATGCTATTTGAAACCAGCATCATAATCAAATCTTTCAATGCTATATTGGTGAAAACCGCATCCAAATTGGACTATATAGTTCCGATATTCATAAACAAGTGTTAACTGCAGCGCCCTCTTGTAAACTGTTAGCGTAATAGTTATGTAAGAACACGCGCTAAATAAACCCAAACCCGTAACTGAAATAGCAATTCAACCTGACCAGTGGTTTTGGAGATAATTGGTAACATTGGTTTACCTTCACAAAGAAATGTTTACTGCAGCGCCCCCTAGTGAGTTTTTCACGTAAAAACTATCTAAGAACATGCTCCTATAAGATCTGAATCCAGTACTGAAAACTGCATCGCAATCAGACTAGTGGTTTTGGAGATAAATGGGAACATTGAATTTCACAATAAATGTTTATTGCAGCGCCCCCTGGTGAGTTGTTCGCGTAAAACCTATCTAAGAACATGAACAAAAAAAAAACAAATCCATCACTGAAAACCGCATCAAAATCGGACCATTGGTTTGATAGATATTTGGTAACATAGGTTTGCACACACAAACAAACAAACAAACACACATTCTCTCACCCCAAACGCATATACCGTCTCCGTTCCGTCGTGGGTAAAAAGAAAAAAATTTACATTAATATTATCCTCACAAGTGAAAATAAGAAATAGATAAAATGACATGCATCGACGGGGATCGAACCCGGGCCGCATGGGTAAACGCCCCACCGCTCTGCCACTGAGCTATCGATGCACGGCCGATGACCGCCAAATTATCTATCTCTTGATGCTCGTCTCCAAGCGACGATCCAGCGACATCTGTAGAAAGTATTTAGAACTTACTACATGGTTAGTCCACATTATGAGTGGAATTCAAACCATATGATGAAGCTTGCTTAATCAATCTATTGGGATTGTAATGCACTCACAGTGCTATATTATTCTCACAAGTGAAAATAAGAAATAGATAAAATGACATGCATCGACCGGGGATCGAACCCGGGCCGCATGGGTAAACGCCCCACCGCTCTGCCACTGAGCTATCGATGCACGGCCGATGAACGCCAAATTATCTATCTCTTGATGCTCGTCTCCAAGCGACGATCCAGCGACATCTGTAGAAAGTATTTAGAACTTACTACATGGTTAGTTCACATTATGAGTGGAATTCAAACCATATGATGAAGCTTGTTAATCAATCTATTGGGATTGTAATCACAGTGCTATATTATTCACAAGTGAAAATAAGAAATAGATAAAATGACATGCATCGACCGGGGATCGAACCCGGGCCGCATGGGTAAACGCCCCACCGCTCTGCCACTGAGCTATCGATGCACGGCCGATGAACGCCAAATTATCTATCTCTTGATGCTCGTCTCCAAGCGACGATCACGATTACATGTAGTAAGTTCTAAATACTTTCTACAGATGTCGCTGGATCGTCGCTTGGAGACGAGCATCAAGAGATAGATAATTTGGCGTTCATCGGCCGTGCATCGATAGCTCAGTGGCAGAGCGGTGGGGCGTTTACCCATGCGGCCCGGGTTCGATCCCCGGTCGATGCATGTCATTTTATCTATTTCTTATTTTCACTTGTGAGAATAATATAGCACTGTGAGTGCATTACAATCCCAATAGATTAATATTATCTTTTCACCTATTTTCGAAGATTGACTTCTTTCATAAAACAACTACGTTTCTTAGAACCAGTGAGTAGACTAGACAAAACAACAGTGTCTCTACTACAATAATATCCTAATGGTTGACTCACAAATACACTTGCAAACATTCCATCACCTACTCACAGCTTAACTAGCACAATCTAAGGTGAGCAACACTCGCTTCGTCCGTTTGTGCGTTAGTTTTGCGCTGCGTAACGCATGCGTTGCGTTGGGACAATACGAAATAGTCTCATAGAAATATGGTTTATGTCAAATTGTTTGACAAATGTTTCGTTCAACGCCGCGTTGTGCGATTATTTTTGCGCTAACCGATGCGCCTGCCAAACCGTTTCACATAAACCGTATTTATATAAGATGTAAACTCGTGTTTTCAAACGCAAGGGATAGCGCTGCGCAAAAATAACGCACAAACGGGCGTTATGTGTGTAAAGCACCTTAACTAGCACAATCTAAGAGTATCTACACTAGACCAGCAACCGGTTCACCTCCGATTGTTTACCGCAACCGCAGACAGTAAGACAGGTGGATTATGAGATTAGAGATCTCATGGCTCTAGCAGCGAACTTAGAGATACCTATAGAACAAAATAGAGAGTACACCAAAGGTTACTACGTTTGATAGAACCAGTAGTGAGTAGAATAACAAAACAAGAGACACAGATCTCTACAATAATATAATGCTTGACTCACAAATACACCTAGTTGCTGTTGGTAGATACCTAGATTTATTTAGTCACCTACTGATGTATAATTTATTATACTCCATAATTACACATACCTATAGGTTCATATAACCTGAATCTCTTTAAGTCTAGAGTGAATAGGCATCTTCTGGGCAAGCTCGCTCCACCGTAGATCCCATCTCTGCTCTAGGGTAAAATTGGGGTCAAGAGTAAGCCCATCATAGATAAAAAAAAAACCTATCATGGGTATCAGAATATAGTGCTAAATACACTTGCAAGCATTCCATCACCTACTTACAGCTTAACTAGCACAATCTAAGAGTATCTACACTATACTAGCAACCGGTTCACCTCCGATTGTTTACCGCAACCGCAGACGGTGAGACAGGTGGATTATGAGATTAGAGATCTCATGGCTCTAGCGAACTTTGAGACACCTATAGAACAAAATAAAATAGAGAGTTTACAGAAGGTTCACTCGAACCTTTTCAGGATTTTTGCGACTTGTTACAAAGCCAGGGTTTCTACTGTCAAAAATCTCAAAGTTTATAAATATCAAAACAGCAAAATCTGATAAAGAAGTCATATAATTCTGAGCCAATTGTAAGTCCAATAAATATGATATTACGTCCGTGGCATCCATCTTCTTAGTTGTTTCCAATAAAAGTCAGTAAGCGTCAAAGTCGTCTCTAGTACTGAGTAAGCCATCTGTATAGGCGCCCCGTACGCCGTAGCCCTAATTTGTGTTAGAGATACCTAATTGTTCCATGTTCCATGGGGAAAGTTGTTCAGTTTCATGAGTACCTTGACCTCCTTTCGGCTTGTTATACCCTTTCTGTTACTCCCTGTATAGAGCTTTTTCGTGAGCTGTCAATTGACCATTGTTTTTTATTATTGCCATTGCAAATGAGTTGATCGAGGGCCGGAGGAAAAGCTTTCCCTGGATCTCGAACCTCCAGAGCATGAAAGGGACGATCGTGACTCGTTATTGATCATTAGTGCAAAATTAGATTTCCTGGGAAAGTGTAATCCCTCTTTTAAATCTCAACCCATTCCGGAAATTTCGCCAGTGCTAACCTTGATCTACTTTAACTGCTTTTGGTCTTGCCTTCCTCTATGTAATATAGGTATACAGTCAGTGTGATACCGGCAGGCAGGTATTTATGCAAATCAGTAATTCTAGGCGTCTATAGGTACGTACATCATTTACCATGCGGTCATCTGCAAAATCACGAAAAATATCAGCTGCTTGGTACATTTTTCTTAATAAGGTTTTTCTATGTAACAGCTGTTTTTTTTTCGTGATTTCTCATATTGCCCCATAGTAAAAAAATATTCAGGAGTTTGAATAAATGCCCCCTTATCGGTTACACTACACAGTCTGTATGTTTGTGAGTGAAGATCTCGAGGTCTTTGGTTCTATTAAGGATTCTTTTTAAAGAATTCGATATGCTTATATTTTTTTATATACTTAATCGAGTAGACGCCTTGACATTTTACTTTACTGCAAATTGAAATTAGGCCGATAAAAATCAGAACAGCTACGGTTGCATGTCATGACTATAAAACGCTAATTTGAATTCGCAGTCGAAATCACCCGGATTTTGATCTGCAATCAAGTGTGGTTTGACCTTTAAAAGTTGGTGCGTAAAGTCCTTTGCCTACGCGTGTGAGGCAGTTTGCATTCCTAGCAATGGTTTTTTAAATTACATTGGTGAGAAAAAATTAATGTTATGTCCCCATCTATGAAGTTGCGTATCAAAAGTGCTATATTTGAGAGTCAGAAATGGGCACCATCAAAAGTTTATGAATTCCTGTACACATGTGTTTTTCAATAAGGGTAGGTAGATAATGAAGAATTACTTTGCAGTGAAGTATTCATACCATAGGTCTCTATGTACCTAGTTGGTTATCAATGTTATCATAAATACTTATGTGACGTTCACCAGAAAAACAACGATATTCTCGACGAAACTTTTATTTTCTTCACTTTCACTTCTCAACAATATTCGACTTCGATCACGATGATCACGTGTTCACAAAAATAATCTATCGATACCTTGGGCGCGTCCGAATCGGCCGATCGTAAGTTATCGAATCGCAGGGCCGACTGACAGAATAAGTGTTGCCAGTGGAAAACACATTTTACTACTCAAACTAGGGTTGCCATTTAATAAATTGTAGCAGCCGACCAAGGAAATCAAAGATGGCAAACCGGAAGGCAACACGACAGTGTTGCCATTATAAAACACAATTTACTGCTAAAACTAGGGTTGCCATTCGATAAATTGTAACAGCTCGGCCATCCGATAACCAACGAGTGCCTTCGTTGTGAATTATTATTAAGTAACATTAGTAAATAGCATAACAATACTAATAATTATAAAAAACTTAACTTAATGAAAGAAATGCAATTGTTTAAAATAATTAAACTTAAATATATCATCTAAGTACTATGCAATGTTTACATACTTATATTTCTTATATATAGCATGATAATTGAAATCAGACTCAGACCTAAACTTAGAAGTAATTTAGATACTGTAATTCAATTTACAATTTTATGATAAATTATCTATCAACACCATTAATAACTTTCGAATATAATGATTGCTATTTAATGTAATTTAACAAATTACTGAAATAAAATAAAATTAATAAATACAAGACATATTAAATAGCTTGGTAATAAGTTACAATATCTTATTTTAATTATCTTACATTATGATTATATTGCTCAAGTTTGATAAACTTCATTAGACTTACAGTGTCTACTCAATCACTAATGCGTTCTACATCCCTTAAATAAAATCATTTGCAAGTACATTTTCAATAATGGATAAAAACATTCAGTAGGTAGGTACACATATCTCTAATATACTAATGTCTGTCTCTCTATAGCTATATCTCTACTTAATCACTTATTGTGCTTATCTATACACAGATCTCTTACCAGACTGTTATATTGTTTTCTCCTTGGGCGGTACATCATTGTACCCGGCATGCCCACAATATACAATCCGTTTTCAATGCCCGTACTTACACCATGTGAGAATCATTTCGCACATGGTACAAGCACTGGGACTTAAACTCTCTGACCCGACTGTAATATTGCTTATCCTTGGGCGGCACATCATTGTGCCCGTCATGCCCACAATAATACAATCCGTATTCCATGCCCGTGCTTACACCATGTGAGAATCATTTCGCACATGGTACAAGCACTGGGACTTAAACTCTCTGACCCGACTGTAATATTGGTTATCCTTGGCGGCACATCATTGTGCCCGTCATGCCCACAATAATACAATCCGTATTCCATGCCCGTGCTTACACCATGTGAGAATCATTTCGCACATAGTGCAACCACTGGGACTTAAAATCTCT